CAAGCGTCCCTCGATGGGTGAATGGATAAAGAAAAAGTGAGAGATATATATGAAGAAAAAAGAAGACAGCAAAAAGAAAATACATTTTAAAAATTCTTAAAAAAGAAGATCCTGCCATTTGCCACAACATGGATGAGCCTGCTATGTGACCGGCACAGAAGAATTCTGTCTCTACTCATAGAGGTAGAGAGTGGAATGGTGATTGCTGGAGGGGTGGGGGGGGGGGTGGGGAAAATGGGGGGATGTTGAGTAGAAAGTATAAAGAAAAACAATGTGAGTTTGATCATGTTGTTTCTTCCTAACCCATTCGGTGGCTCTGCATTCTAGAGAGAAGTGTGTCTTAAATGTCTATGTGCAATATGAATCACCTGGGATGGGGTGGGGGATCGGGTGCATCTTGTTAAATGCAGATTTCACTTCACTTGGTGTGGGGATCTGAGACTCTGCATTTCTAAAAAGCTCCCAGATGACACCAATGCTTCTGGTCTGCTGACCACTTGGGTTCTAGAGAAGCACCGTCCAATGTGAATGTCTATGATGATGGAAATGTTCTCTAACCGAACTATCTAATATGGTAGACACTAGCTTCTTGTGAATGTTGGGGTGAAGTGTGAATATTGAAAGGTACCTTGTGTGACTGAGGAACTGAATTTTACATTTTATTTCATTCTTAATCACTTACATTTATTTATTTCAGTTCATTTTTTTAAATTTATGGATGTGACAGTTGGACTATAAAGAAAGCTGAGTGTCAAAGAATTGATGCTTTTAAACTGTGGTGTTGGAGAAGGCTCTTGTGAGTCCCTTGGACTGCAAGGGAATCCAACCAGTCTATCCTAAAGGAAATCAGTCCTGAATATTGATTGGAAGGACATGCTGAAGCTGAAACTCCAATACTTTGGCCACCTGCTGTGAAGAACTAACTCATTGGAAAAGACCCTGATGCTGGGAAATTTTGAGGGTGGGAGGAGAAGGGGACGACAGAGGATGAGATGGTTGGATGGCATCACTGACTCAATGGACATGAGTTTGAGTAAGCTCCAGGAGTTGGTGATGGACAGGGAGGCCGGGCGTGCTGCAGTCCATGGGGTCACAAAGAGTCGGACACGACTGAGCAACTGAACTAAGCTGAACTGAATAGTTGATTCACAGTTTAACTGAAGTATAGTTGATTTACAGTGTTGTATTAGTTACTGGTACACAGCAAAGGAATTCAGTTATATGTGTATATATATAATATATATATAATAATTATTTATTTATTTGTGCCCATGCTAAGTCTTTGCTGCTGTGCGGGCTCTCTCTAGCTGCAGAGTGGGGCTACTGTCTAGCTGTGGTGCACAAGCTTATTGCGGCGGCTTCTCTAGTTGTGGAGCATGGGCTCTAGGGCACGCGGGCCTCAGTAGTTGTGGCGCATGGGCTCAGTGGTTGAGTCTCCTGGGCACTAGAGCATAGGTTCAGTCATTGCGTCTCATGGGCTCAGATGCCCTGCAGCATATGGGATCTTTCTGGATCAGGGATCAAACCCATGTCTCCTGCATTGGCAGGCAAATTTTTTTTTAATCACTCAGCCACCAGGGAAGCCCAATGTGAAATTATTTTAGTTGGAAGATTAGAGTTCTTTTTTTTTTTTTGTCTATATTGCCTGACAAAATACAGACCAAAAAATATAGAGTTCTATTTTGTCTGTAGTGCTAACTTTAAAGAAGCCAAGATATAGAATTCTGCATCTCAGATATTGGCACTTTTGTAAAAACTCTGAATGTCAAAAGCTTTGTTATTGTTCAGTCACTCAGTCATGTCCAACCCGATGGACTGCAGCATCCCAGGCTTCCCTGTCCTTCACCATCTCCCGGAGTTTGCACAGACTCACGTCCATAGAGTCAGTGATGTCATCCAACCATCTCATCCTCTGCCAAAAGCTTTATTTCTTCAATTATTCATCAGCAGTGATTGCAATTTGCCCATTCTGTGCAGAAAACACTTTCAGGAACAGAACTTCTGGGATCTTGAGTCCTTGCACAGGGTGGATCGTACATTCTTCCGGGCTGTTATTTTTTCCCCTGCAGCTGCTGGTGCCAGTCTCCACCCCGCGTGCTATGGCAGGGCTGCTGTGATCCTGTCTGCCAACACCAGCCCATTTGCGGTGGCTGCCTAGCTTGTTTCAGACCTCCAGCTGGGAGCTTCAGTGTGTGATCTGGAACAAACTATTCTTTTTCAGATAAGGTACTACATATACTTTCATATAAGGTTCTACAAGTTAGTTAGTATAGTTCCCTGTGCTATACAGAATGTCCCCGTTGGTTACCTATTTTATATGTGGTAGTTTGTATCTGCTAATCCCAAGCTGCTCATTTATCCGTCCTCCACTTTTCCCTCTGGTAACCATAAGTCTGCTTTCTATGTCTGTCATTCACGTACATTACACGGTCACATGGGCTAGTGGCTGCTATACTGGACATATCAACTATAGAAGATACCATCCATGCTTCTCACCATGACAGACATAGCCATGCGGTGATCTGTCTTTGCTCAGTTACTGCTCGTCACTTCCTGCCCTTCCGTGTTCTGTATTGATTGGTACAGCATCACTAAACAACCATGATTTTCCAAATGAACAAGTGGTTTTTATGCTTCCACTTTGCACATGATGTTCCCTTTCCTTGACATGTTCTCCTCCATGTTTTGTGCCCAGTAATGTCCCTTTTTCCCCCCTACCCCAGTCCAATCCTAGCACCTGCTCCTCTGTGAATCTCTGCCCTCATCCTGCTAACCACAATCACTTACCAGCTACAGATACTGAAGGCCTTTCACACACCTTATTTCCTAGTAAACCTGGTATAAGGAAACTGAAGCTGGAAGTGGCTTGCCCAGGGTCCCAGACTGGAAAGCAGATCATAAATTCAAACGTGGGTCTGCCTGATCCTGAAGCGCATTCTTTTCCTTCCACATCCTAGTGCCTTCTGCTGGTGCAGTGCTACGACACGCAGATCACTCATCACACCATGGTGAAATTATTTCTCTACAGTTTCTCTGCTCTGCGGGATCATAAGCTCTTAGAGGTCATGGTTGAGATATTATTTATTTCTGTATCCCTGGGGCCTGGCACATCACGGATACTCAGCATCTCTTGTGGAATCAGTGTGTATGTTTCAGCTCTGCAGCTCCATAGCAAATCCCTGAGTGCAGCCACTGGCTTCATCTCGCTGATGTACTTGGTGCTTTACAGGCCCCTAGTAACTGTCTGACTAAATGAATGAATAACTAAATGAGCCTGTTGACTGTGGGCGACATTGGCAAGGATTCTTTTAGGAACCCAAGAGTACAGATTCTTGCTAAGCAGCTTTCGGATGTCAAGATAAAACACTCATTTTCACTCTTTTCATAATTTTACCAAATGCTATTTTTCTACACTGTGTCACTTGGTCTCTTGAGCTATTTTGGATTGAAATCATACATTTTAATTCAATTAACCTACCTTATTAAACAAATATTTAACAAATCTATTACCAACAAAACTCTGTGCTAGGCCCTAAGAGTACAGAAAAATATAAATTGAATCAGTCATGTTCCTTACCTTCAAACCTGTTAAGAATTAATGCAGGAGAGAGATGGGTACCCAGATCAAGCCAAGGAGAAAACAAGGAGACAGAATAGAGGAGTGTAGGGAAGCTCATGATGGAAAGAGACTGGGATGAAAAAGTTTTGATGCTTACTTCTCTTCAAGTCTGCCTAATTAGTATTGCCAGCATTCTCCTGAATTAACATCTTGTAAGATACACTTTACTGAGAATGGGAGAAAATGGGAATGCTTTTACATTGCCAGTAGGACCCAGGAATATAAATTGGCATGATCTTTATAAGGGTACTCTGTAATCCTATTCAAATTCTTTAAAAATATGCCATTTGTTCCAGCAATTCTACTTTTAATTTACCCTGAGATAATCATCATGGCTATGTACTGAGTTTCACTGGCAAAGACTTCATTGTAACATTGCTTATAATGATTAAAAAACACAAAAAGACAAATTTCTAAGCTGGAGGGAATTAAATTGCTCAAAATTTATATAATAGAGTACTATTTTATCATAAAAAGTCATACAAATCTATATGTATTGATATGGAGCAACATCATTATACATTTTTAAGCAAGGAAAAGCAAGTTAGAACATAGAATATGCCATGAGATTTCCTAATTTGGAGGGAAAGTTTGAGGGTACTTTTACATGCACAGATTAACACAGACTTTAGGGGAAGATCCATAGGCTCTGGGTCATGGGATTACATTATTTGTGTCTATGCTTTTCCTCTGTATATGCCACTTTTTATGACAGAAAAACACACCTCCAAGAAAAATGAAGATACCAGTTTGTTCCATGGTATCAATTTAGCCTGGCCTCTAATTACAAAATATCTTCTTAAAGATCCAAGATACCTTACAAGAAATCCTTAGGTGGCCAACTGCTTAGTGATGCCTCCAGCTTGGAGAAGTCCCGCTGTTTCCTGTCATCATCCGTGTCTTCATTCCTCGATTGAAGATGGCCATGGTTCCCCTCTCTCTGCTTGCAAACTCATCCTAGACTGAAGCCATCTCATCTTTGGCCAGCCATCACTTGATCACTGTCCCCCAGGGGGGCCCTAGAGCAGAAGTGAGCCTTCCGACACCCGGAGGCTAGTGGCCCGGGCACTTTTCTCACTGTCCAGGTTCCTTTGACGAACAACTTTGGTCATGGAGTTCTCTCACCCTTTGTTTTTGTTCTTTCCTCTCATGTGCTGCTGCTTCCTGAGCTTCCTATGTGGTGAGGGGTGGGGAGTGGGCTCGTGCACAAAATCTTAATGAATTGTCCCAGGAGCCCATGAGTTGCAAAGGAAATGCAAGACGTATTTAGAGCCAATTTGGTGGTGCTAGCGGGAAAGAATCTCCCTGTCAATGCAGGAGACATAAGAGAAATGGAGGTCTCTTTTTTTGTGGCGCCTCGGAGGCTGTCGGCCACTTCAGAATGAAGCTGAACATCTCTTTCCCGGCCACTGGCTGCCAGAAGCTCATTGAAGTGGACGATGAACGAAAACTTCGTACCTTCTACGAGAAGCGTATGGCCACAGAAGTTGCTGCTGACGCTCTGGGTGAAGAATGGAAGGGTTATGTGGTCCGAATCAGTGGCGGGAACGATAAGCAAGGTTTCCCCATGAAGCAGGGTGTCTTGACCCATGGCCGAGTTCGCCTGCTACTGAGTAAGGGGCATTCCTGTTACAGACCAAGGAGGACTGGAGAGAGAAAGCGCAAATCTGTACGGGGTTGCATTGTGGATGCCAATCTGAGTGTTCTCAACTTGGTCATCGTGAAAAAAGGGGAGAAGGATATTCCTGGACTCACTGATACTACAGTGCCTCGTCGCCTGGGTCCCAAAAGAGCTAGCAGAATTCGCAAACTTTTCAATCTCTCTAAAGAAGATGATGTCCGCCAGTATGTTGTGCGAAAGCCCCTAAACAAAGAAGGTAAGAAACCTAGGACTAAAGCACCCAAGATTCAGCGTCTCGTGACTCCATGAGTTCTGCAACACAAACGCCGGCGTATTGCTCTGAAGAAACAGCGTACTAAGAAAAACAAAGAAGAGGCTGCAGAATATGCTAAACTTTTGGCCAAGAGAATGAAGGAGGCCAAAGAAAAACGGCAGGAACAGATTGCCAAGAGACGGAGGCTGTCCTCTCTGAGAGCTTCTACTTCTAAGTCTGAGTCCAGTCAAAAATGAGATGTTCCAAAAGTAACAAATAAATAAGATCAGACATCAAAAAAAAAAAAAAAAAAGAGAAATGGATTCCGTCTTTGGGTTGGGAAGATCCCCTGGAGGAGGGCATGGCATCCCATTCCAGTATTCTTGCCTGGAGAATCCCATGGACAGAGGAGCCTGGCGGGCTATGGTCCATATAGTCACAAAGAGTCAAACACAACTGAAGCAACTTAGCACGCTCCAACATCTGGATATTATTTGATCTGTCAAAGAGACATGTGAAAAGAGAAAAGCAAACTAAAGAGAATCTCCCTGATTTGTTCCAACATCACAGATAGGTTTAGAAGCCTTACTAACTCCTTCAAGGAAATTCAATTTATCATCCTAAAGATTTCTTCAGCTTTACATAAGGTAGGTGAGGAAGTTTTAAGAGCAAAATGAGAAAATGATTCAGCCTCTTTTTTTGTGTGTGCTGCTTAAGGAGTGTGCTTAAGCCACCTTCATGCCTTTTCACAGCAGCTTTATAAGAGCCTGGCTCCCTGATGTCACTCTGCATAGCGGATTGTGTGACAAGGGATTCAGGAGGCAGTCGAAAGCAGGGTGTGAGGGGAGAGCTGTGTGCGTAGGAAGTACCAATGAGACCGTATGGGTGCGCCTGGACCCTGAGAGGCCACATCCAAGAACCAAGTGGAATAAATCAGCAGCTAATCAGCAAGCTGGAAGGGGAAGCAAAGGCTGAGAGCAGGGAGGTGTGCACCTGCTTGAAAGAGGAACCAGCCCAAGCAGTGTGGCAGGTGTCCATGGAGGCCACACTCCAGCAGTAAGCGCTGCTCCTGCTCCGGTCGTCCGATGCAGACGTACTGACTTCCGGTCTCTGCAGCCCATCTGCCTCCACGTCTGTACTGTGGGCTACATGCCGGCCAGGGCCTCAGACAGCCCGCAATCCCTTCCACCTCGGAACCTTTGAACCTGCTGTTCACACTCCACAAAGGCTCCTTCCTCTTTGCTGAGCTACCTGCTGCTCACCCTCCCATTTCAGGATATCTCTCTATCATCTCCAGTTCTAGCTCTAGTTTTATATCTAGATTGACATGTAGATCTAGACACGCACACACACATCCCTCTTACTGTGTCCCAAGCACAGGCCCAAGAAGTTAAGAGGGTCATTTCCTCAGGAGAGCCCTCCTGACCGCCCACCTGGACAAGGCCAAGTCCCCAGTCATGAGCCGCATGGCACTGTGCCTTTCTCCATTGTACCACAAATGTATTTTTCCCCTCTTCTCGCAGTGTAGAGTTGTGTCCCGGCATCTAGCACAGAGCTTAGCACCTCAGAGATGTCTCATATTTACTTGCGTCTCTTTGATTGGCCTGTCTTCTGAGCTAGAAGGTCAGTTCTGTCAGCACAGGCATGGTGTTTCTGTTCCTCCTGCACTCCCAGTGCTAGGCACACGGGATGCAGTCTTCACCCTGAGCGAGTGAGTGAACTCTATACCAAGCGCCAGTGCGGGACTGCCGTGGGGGTAAGACCCAGTCCCTGGCCTCATGCACTCCTCATGCAATTTAGCGGGGAGACAGACAAGCAGACTGCTGCTCTTCAGTATGAAAGTGCTGGGAAGAGTGTGAACAGGGGCAGTGGGGGTGGGGGGTGGGCTTAGAGATGGGGGAGGGGGGAAGGCAGGTGGGGGTTGGAGTGGGATCTGGGAAGGCTTTCTGGGGGACGTGTGTCTAAGCAGAAAAACACGTGAATGTTAGGCCGGTGATGCCAGGAAGGAATTTGAGCACTGTCATTCCTGCCAAAGGGAGCAGAGTCGAGACCCGAGAGGAAATCAGGGACCGAAAAAGACAGAGACATGCGCACAGGAGGGGCAGGCCGCCTAGCTCAGGCTAGTGGCTATGAGGTTTACCCCTGTCTAAGTGTACTTCTTTTGAGGAGGGATGGATACTGTACAAAAACTTCATTGCACAGTAGACATCATCTATGAAATTGTTTTCTTCCAAAAAAAGGACAAAAGCGACTTCCCTGGTGGTCCAATGGTTAAGACTTCGCCTTCCAATGCAGAGCCTGTGGTTGGGGATCCCTGGTTGGGGAGCTAAAATCCTACATGCCTCAAGGCCAAAAAACCAAAACATAAAACAGAAACAATATCGTAACAAATTCAGTAAAGTATTTTAAAATAGTCCATATCAAAAAATAAATAAATAAATAAATAAAACAAAGAAAAGGAAAACCTGATTGGGAGGATTCAGTTTGGAAGCAGGTATAAGCCTGACTTCAGAAAGGCCCCTTGAAATGTCCCCAGGACCCTTTCTAATTAGATGGTGTGGAATTCAGTTCAGGGCCCCAGGTGCTGATCACCCTCTCCGTGAGCTGGGCCTGCTGGTTAAGGACTAGCAGTGCCCTCGTCCGATGCTGATTAGACAGGAGGTGCCCTTTATTTTCTGTCATCTTCCCACACCTTAAGTCTCCCAGTGACCAGGCTGACCATCCAGGAATGGTTTTTTAGGTTCACCCTCAGGCCTCCCACCTGCTTGAGGGAAATCCACAGTGTTTGCCTTCCTGTTATTCCTAGAACTCTGAGAGGTGCAGAGAAAGCAAAGACAGTCCTTAGCATCGAAGAGCTAATGTTTAGTTGAGGATATAAGATGTATGTCCCTAAAGCAATTAGGGCATGGTATTAATTAAAGTTCTTTTATTTACAAGTAATGGAAACTAACTTCCTTCTTAAGCAAAAGGGGGAAATTACTGGATAGAGACAAGGTAATCACACAAAATTGAAGGAGAGTTTGACAACCAGGATGCAGAGTATACAGAATCCAGGGTAGCCCAGGGATCCTACTGGTGAGAACGTGGATCTTATCTGTTGAGATTTGTAGTGTGGCTGCCTTTAATTTATTTACCAGTCCCCTGATGTTGGACATATAAGCCATTTCCAGTTTTTCATTGCTATAAATTACAATGTAATAAACATCATGGTACATTGAATCATTGTCTGAATGTCTGATTAAGAAGAAGATGATGACCAAGCATTTAGGATAGATCCTCATATGATTTTAAATGCTGGCATCTCCTGAAGGAGTCTGCCCAGCCAGAGCAATGTTCCATTAACTTTGCCATTCTAGGCGGGGTGTCTTCCTCTGCGTGCTCAGGACACTGTTCTGTAAATCAGTGACTGCATAGCATTCTAAATAGATCAATAGTCACTGGAAAGAGTGACCTCAAGGTCTAATCAATAACAGGCCAACGATTTGTTCTTGGTCCCCAGAGATGAGTCTATGTTGTAGAAGTTAGGGAGAGTCAACTGACTGCCTTCCCAGTAGACTCTGCCATGGGTCAGGAGAGGAAGGAGGCATGATGTGTGTCTGGAAAGGGGATAAAATTTAGTGGTCCATCAGGGATCCCAGAAACTTCTAGTTTGTAGTTTTTTATTTAAGCAGCACTTGCCATGTATCAAGCACTCTTCTAAGGGCTTTACAAATATTCAGTGACTTAATCCTCCTGCCAATTTTATAAGGAGGTATTACTGTTAATGTATTTTATGGATCAGGAGTCATATAGTAAGGGCAGAGCTGGAATTTGAACAACAACTATACCTTGTTTCCATGAATATATTGAAGTTTATGTTTGGAAATTAGGATGCTTGAAAAATGACCAAACGTTATCAACGAAGAGCATGATACTCTGTTGTTTCTGCATCTCCCACACTGGACCCCTCCATCAACACCACTCTGCAGCTCCGGTTCAGGCCATCACTGTCTCTCCTTTAGACTATGGTTTCCAAGTGTCATCCCACAGACTCTGATGAAGTTTGCACCAATCTTCAGGGAAAAGGAAAATTAAAGACGTTGCAGTGAATTTCTCCATATATCTAAATTTATTTAAAATCAAGTCCTCAAAACTTGATAGCCCACTTTTAAAATAGAAAGTTGGGCTCTTATCTTACAACATATATAAAAATTAATTTAAAATGGATCAAGGCCCTAAGTATAAGAACTAAAACTAGAAAATTCTTTGAAGAAAACATAGGGATTTAGATTTCATGACATTAGATTTAGTGATGATTTCTTGGGTATGATGCTAAGCACATAGGCAACAAGGGGAAAAAGCAATTAAAAATTGGACTTCATCAAAATATAAAACTTTTTTGCATCAAAAGACAGTATCAGCAGAGTAAAAGACAACCCATGGAATGGGAAAAATATATTTGCAAATTATCAATCTGATAAGAGATCAATATCCAGAATATATAAAGAAGTCTTACAATCCAACAACAAAACAACTAGATTTAAAAATGGGCAAGGACTCGAACAGACATTTTTCCAAAGAAAATGTACAAGTGGCCAATAAATGCATAAAAAGATTCTCAGCATCACTAATCATCGGAGAAATTCAAATTAAAACCACAATGAGATATCACTTCATACTGATTCAAATGGCAATTACATAGAAAAAAAAAAAACCCCAAAATATCAAGTGCTTGTGTGAGGAAAGTATCCTTGTTCACAGCTAGCAGGAATGTAAAACTGTGCAGCTACTGTGGAGAACATAGAGCAGCTCCTCAGTACACTAAACATACAATTATCATATGATCCAGCAATTTCACGTCTAAGTATATACCACAAAGAACTGAAAGCAAGGATTCAAACAGATACTGGTAAATTCATGTTCATAGCAGCATTATTAACAATAGTCAAAAGTGGGAAAGACCTGTCCATTGGCAGAAAAATGGATAAATAAAATGTGGAATATGCACAAATGAAATATTATCTAGCCTTACAAAAGATAGGAAAATCTGATACATGCTACAACATAGATGAACTTTGAGGACACTATGTGCTGAACGAAGTAAACCAGTCTCTACAGGACAAATGTTATATGATTCCATTTGGATGGGGGTACTTAGGAAAGTCAAACACAGAGACAGAAAATAGAGTGGCTGTCGCCAGGAGCTAAAGGGTTGGGAGAATGAAGAGTCAGTATTTAAAGTATGGATTTTTCAGTTGGGGAAGATGACAGAGTTCTG